TGTAGCTTGACTTGAAAGATATCTTGATTTGATCTTGAGATCTTTGAACGGCTTGTCTTTTTGCAATCAAGAGATGACCTTGAGTAGTATTGACATCATCAAAACTTGAGACTGAAGCATGCTTCTACATCAACTCCATCTTCGACTCAACTTGTTAATGTTCTAACAAAGTCTTTCTCTACACCAGCCTTTTCTTCCATTTTATCTAAGCTTGGACTCATTTATATTCATAGTCTAGCTGGTGGGGGAGTGTTAGATAATTATTTAGTTTGTTATTTATTTATTTATTTATTATTGTACCATTAATTACATCTTTGTAAGGATGTTAGTTTCTTTATGTGTATAAATACATAGCTTGTTTATTGATGTAAGTTTAACTTTGAATATTAATAATATGTGGTATTTTTTTATTTGAAAAATCCAATAGAGCGTACCATACTTAAAAATAATTAGTATATAAAGTATGTTATATCTTGTGTTGGAGGTCTGTTGTAAAACATAAACAATAACAAAATAAAAATGGTATGATAAAAGTTGCATAAAATAAATTTTAAAGTGTGTGTTTACACAAAATTTTATGTTCGATTCGCCCCGACTAATTTAGGTAAATTGAATACAAACGAGTAATCTGGAGAATTTCTTTCAGGATATTTTGAAAACTTTAACATGAATCACACATTCACATCAAATATACCGGTCAACCATATTTTACATAATAAAATTCTCCCATTCATTGTCATGCACAAGAAAAATAAATGAATGTTCGAAAAGCCTATTGTTCGATTTCGGGCAGGTGCAACTTTGTGTTTTCTTTTTTTCCATTTATTTTGTTAAAATAACTAAGTCAATACCACTACACCAATACAACCATTTATGATCCAAAAGATTCATTAAATAAATTTAATTATTATTATTCATCAAATAAATATTTTGAAATTTTCACTTACAACGTATATGCTAATTAGTTAGTGCAAACATAAATGGCTTGAATTATCTTTAGTTTTGTAAGATTCACATGATTTTCCATTATTTCAATGTATCCATTTGGTTTCCACACTTAATATTGAAATTAATTGTCCCCATTGCTTCCTCATAGAAATTTACTCATAACTTCATGTCATTGAGTAGCTTTAGAGACATGAGTCCACAATTAGGGATTTAGAAGATGTGAGTGGCTTTGATGGAGAATTTAGTAAGAGACTTAACGACTTTGATTTAATTAAAATCTTGGAAATTTCCACGAAAATAGTTATATTGCTTTAGAGCGTCTAAGATCATGAAAACATGTAGGTGTTAATAGCGGTGTTAGCATAATCACAATATTGTTCATATATTTCAATGTTGAGTTAAACCTCCTACCTCACTATGATACTTCCACTCCTTCGCCTCTCTTCCCTTCTGGATATTAATGTAGAGTTATTGGCAATGAAGTAAATGAAAACGACACCAGAATCAAAATAATTGTTTGAATGAAATTGTTGATGAATTTCCTTTTAGATTTTGCATTTGGGGTATGCTGCAAAACATGAACAAAAAGATGATGAAAATGATGTGGTGATAGTTTCCTCAAATAAATTCTTAAGTGTGTGTTCAGACAATGTATAAATGGTTGGGAGTTCACATTTTTTCATCTTTGGTAAAATCAAGTCCCTCGCGAAGACATTCATAAACTTTTCTACCATAACTCTTAGTGGATAAAACCAAATTTAACATTACATCCCAATAGAGGATTTGATACTTGTACAATTTATCTCTCTTAACTTGGATTCCATGAGGAAGACTTTGGAAAATTTTAACATCAGGGTTTTAGGTTAGATTTGCCCCCACCAATTTAAAAAAAGTTGATGCAGATGAGTAAGCCGGCGAATTTCAATTATGATATTTTTGAAACCTTAACATGAATTGCACGTTCATATCATGCATATTGATCAAAGATATTTTATATAATAAAATTTTCTTATTTATTCTTATTCACTAGAAAAATAAAGGAATGATTTCAATATATTATTTGTCTCGTTAACTATTATGCTTCAAAAGTGTCTCTATTTATAGTTATATATTTCATCATTCAAGAAGCAGTTATATATTTCATCATTCAAGAAGTATAACATAGGTTGGAATGGTTCAAAGTTTACAAATTTGAATCCCTTGTATGTATATTTTCATTCTATTGTCAGTTTAAATCGATAATTAAAACAATCAAAACATTAAAAAAACGTCAAATCCAAGACTTTGGACAAACAATTAAACCATTAGTTCATTTATTTTCCCAATACTAAATATGTACATTGACTATATTTTAACCACAACACTCCCCCTCAAGGGGAAACCAACTCACATTTGACTTAGTATTCTCAACACCCCCTTATGTGTGAGTCCACAATGCTCCTCTTCAAGTGAACCCCCTTATGTTAAGTCCACAATGCTCCTCTTCAAGTGAAAACTCTTTTGTCCACATACACTTGTACCTACGTTGACAGTTCTTCTTGAGCATTTCGATACACCTCTTCCTTGCATTTCGATTTCAATGGGACACATCTTCTTGAGAATTTTGATACAAGTAAGTCGGACCTTTTACTCAAACCAAAGGCTCATAATATCATTGTTATGGCTATAATTAAGGGGTCAAACACGAGAAAACATTGTACACTTAAAGACTTTTCTTTAAGAGCAACACACCTTTGTGAGAGACACACCACATACTCACCCAAAACCTTAAGGTGATAGGTGTATTTTCCTACATATAAATGTTCACCCCTCGACATTTATAACCAATATAAAACTCTAACTCACACTTAACTTATTATTCTCAATAATTTAATGATTTTGCCTTCTTGCCTCAATATAGTAATAATATCATCATTGTCATTAACTTGTCATCAATAGTTTTGTCTAAGTATTTAAATTTATCATTTAAACTGTTTCATGACTCATGGGTGAATATGTGAGGTTAAACTTTTCTCCTAACCTTGAATTAGGGCAACCTTATGTTCGAATAATGAGTCCTCTTGCCTAACACCTTTATAGGATGGAGGGCTCTAAAGATCCTTCTTAAAATCGGTCTGAGCCCGCCCTTCTCTTTAAATACTCTTCCAAAATTTAATTAACATTACATATTAATTAATGCTAAGTAGACCTATGGTATTGTGAATATTTCAATACCATCTAAATATTGATAACTATACATACATTGAACTAAAATTAGTCTTCATTATTAAAATCAGTCCACAACTATTGTTGGGTTGGGTTTAAGGTCAAGTCAATAGACATCATTGCTTAGTGGCTTGGGCACTAGCCAGTGAGTGACACTGCCGAGAGGCGGCATGACACGCCTTTAAAAAATCATGGAGGCGGCTATTCCCCTATAAGTTTAATCACAACCTCAATTTCATTTTTTTATCCTTTACTTTTGCTTTCCCTTTCTTTTTATCAACTTCTACTTTTCTTATAAATGCCTTTGAGGGATATACTAATAACCATTTCTTTACACTTATAGGATAAAGATTCACTGTCAATAAAGTGTAACTTTACTTCCATTTAAACTAATTTATCCCAAGTTTTAGGATATTGCTGCCATTCTAAATGGGCGGCTCCTACGAAAGCTTCCATATATAATAGCGACAGCTGAAGTTTCTACTATGTTGCTTATTTTGCTTGTGCTCATACTTGAGGTGATTACTCAATTCATGATTAAGAAAACATAAGAAAAAACTAATATAAATGTGCAAAACTAATATATATATATATATTTTTTTTTTTTCTTGAGTCAATACTAATCATCAACAACTTACCAACATTTAGATCAAGTGATAAAGTATTCCTTTCAGTTTAATCATAGAATTTTTTTCGTTAGTTAATCTAGGTGATTGAGGTTGGATTTAATAGAAAGGATTATAGTTTGATTTTCGCAACTATGATTGAAAAGAAAGCTGAAATCATTTAATATTAAACTGATCTCTCAAATCAGATTAGTCGGTCGAGTAAATCGGATTAAAAGAAAGTTGAAATCACTTGATATCAAACTGATCTCTCAAATCAAATTAGTCGATCGAGTAAATTAGATTCTAATATAAAAACTAAAATTATGCACACAAAAAAAATACTAATTATCCACGTCTTCTTAACAATTGAGACAGTAACATTATTAATAGTTGAAGTTTGACCTCATAGAACACTTTCTCATCATAGCGATCTCTTTCTTACTAAAAGTTACAAAATGCAATAGCACGAAGCTTCTAAATGCCAAAAATGGGGAGACAAGTTAGTCACAAACACATTTTTAACATTTCAATTTCAAATGGAATTCTTTGTGTGACTCCTTTCTAAGAAAGAGTCATATCTTGTTTTTTTCTTTCTCATAAAAGATAATGGTCATATCAAAGTCAAGTTAACATCCCTTTCACATAAAGAAACATTTATAATACTTTTAAGGTATTCTAGTGGCTATAATTCATTTTTTAAAGATGAACCATTAGAATGTCGCAACTGAAATGAAGCAGATTTAATATCACATCATTTAATACTATAAACTGATTCTTATACAGTAATTCTATAGATTTGGTGGCACTTTTAAATATAGTGTAAATACCATGTCCTTATTTTAATGTCCAATTAACCCATTCTTTATAAGTTTATCACAGTAATTTAATATTATCTAATTTCTTAAAAATCAGCGTAATTAACTAGCGAACAAATCTTACCTGCATTCATATTGTACATCTGTGATTTCTTTTTAATATTTAAATGTAACTTCTGATTATTTTTCTTTTGGGTGTCTGTCTGTCAAACTGTTGACCAAAAATCAGATTCCAGAATCACAAGAGTAACAGCATGACTTGCTAAACAGCAGTAGAATTATATTTACAGTCCTCACTTTTCACTTTTCAGTATACAATCAGATAGTTCTAATGCTCGCCGATAATAGTACAAAAATGTTTAGCAAATTGAAATCTATATTTGTACTGTTATCAAAATTTATAATAGCCTACTCAAGTGAAAATTCATAGTTTAAGATTTTGGTCTTCACCCGTTGATGGTGCACTTTCAAAGTGATTTGGGCTGTTATCTAATTTAGTCGAGGGAGAATCTTTAATCTGATTGTTTAAAGAGCTCTTCTCTGCATGATCATTTGATTTGGCACTGGAATTGAAAGGTCTCTCCAATTCTTTAGCATTGGTAGGACTTATCACTACTTTATTGAGTTCCTCTTCCTGCATAATAAATAATACAAAATGAGTGGTAAAGAAGTCTAGTGTTGACGTGTCCGTGTTGTGTCCAATGTCTGTACTTCACACACAATAAGAGAAGGCTGCATTGGTTGAAATTAGTGTTGAATTTCGAAAAACAGGAACTCAGTGATCACCTTGAAAGAGAAAGCCAAACACCTAAATCTTTAGAAGCTGGGATAAAGACATGCATTTGCATAACAAATTCTAAAACCATATCAAGCATAGACAATTGAAATTCCTTATTTTGCTAAAACTTACATTTTGTAGGGCTTCAAGCTTTTTCTGCAGGGCCTCGTGCTCAGCTTGAATACGAAAAGGAACTCCATGCTTTTGATTGACATTTTTGTGTGCAAAGTCCTCACCAATATCCGTAGAAGTGGTTGCAAAGGGATGATTCGCGGGAATCCACCTGATTGTATCGGGGTCAACATCCGGAGGAACTGAGTCTCCTTCCTTAAGGAAAACTGTGGGACGCTTCCACTGATACGCACGCGATCTCCTTCTCTGGTGAACCGTTTGTTCCTCTTGAGTAAGAGTGACGGGGGCTAAGCGGTAAACCTTTCCACACATCTCTACACTTGACTTACTTTTGTTAACTTTGACCAAGGGATTATCAAATGGATCTTCATATTTGAGATCCCTAGATCTGAAAAAAAACTCAATAAGTTCTTGCCACCTAGTAATGTATATTATTATTATTATTATTATTATAAACCTGTGTATATTTCTGTAGTGGTAAAAAATGATTTTGAATAAACAATTTTTTGTTAAAAATGAGTTGAATGTGAAGTAACTTATATATAAATAGATATACAGAAAAGTGAGCTCAACAATAAATTCAATGATGAAAATCACGTCTAAAGACAAAAGTTCAAATCAAGTTATAATCCAAGTCTTAGCCAGGCAAAAACAATTATATTTGAAAATACATCGAGAAGAATATGATGCATCTAGAATCGCTTTTGCCTCTTAAAAAGTGAATCTAAAAAAATGGATTGAAACACACATGAATTGCATAGAAGTCGCTCACTAGGGATAAGGTTGGCCTCATGACTCAAATAGCATTAACTACATGTTTGGATTATTGGTGAGTTAGGCAAAATCATGGTTGCACAATAATTTTGTTGAAAGACTAAAATTGATTTTTAAGTGAACTGATTCAGTAAAATTGATTTGGGTTAAAAATGGATTGAAAGTAAAGAGATTTATGTTTGGATAAATTGCTGCAAAAGTGAGTTGAACATAACTTTCAGTATAAAAATCATGTTTAAACTAAAAAGCTACAAATCCTACTCGAGAGCAACCAAACATGCTAAAATCAATTCTACACATTCAAAATCAATTCTAAGTGCTCCAAACGTGAAACCAAACATACACTAAATATGGCTTTTGCTAAAGCTTTTAGTGGCACACCGAGATTACACTACACTCATCGTCAATCTAAACAACATCAAGTGAAAATGAAAAGCAATAATTGAGTATGGATTGAAATCATACATACATGCCTCTTCTATCCGATCTCAATTGACCACGTCGAACAAGATCCGCTACAGAACCAGGACGTTCTTTTTTCCTGGTAAAAAACCTCCTCAAAGACGCAACCAAAATCACAACAGCAACACATACCCAAATCGGTAAATTACTCCCAATGTTTCGATTCACCTACAAAACAACATGAAATACTAAAAACCCTAAACCCTAATCTCAATTTCAACAAGAAATTAACACAGATTATAACAAATTGAGCGTGTAAACTGAAACCCTACCAAAAACTGCGGCATTGGAGTGGAAGTAACAAGCTGATGATGAAAATTGGAAACGGAAGTGATACAGTTTTGTTTGAGTTGTTGAGTGCGTGTAACAAGTTCTTTGGGAATTCCATTTGTGATGCGAAAGCGATGGACTCTTGTTCTTCTGGTGGTGGAAGAGGGGTAACAAGGCTACATTTTTGTTCAAGTTTTTTAGGGTTGAATGAAGAATAATTCATTGTGTTAAATTGAAAGGTAAGAGAAGAGAGTGAGTCTGAAGAAACTTACGTGAATGGAAAGCAAACGAAACTCAACTGTCCATATTGACGCCATGCTTTGTTTGCTAATGCTCAAACAAAACTCAATCAATCCATTTGTCTCTCTATCCCCTTTCAAAAACTTTCTTTTTCTTACAAGTTTTCCAATCACTTTTAATTCAAGTGTACATATAATTGAGTTTATATATATATATATATATATATATATATATATATATATATATATATATATATATATATATATATATATATATATATATATATATATATATATATATATATATATATATATATATATATATATATATATATATATATATATATATATATATATATAAATATGCCGACCAAAGAGTCGGTAGGCCCTGCCCAGAGAAAGAAATGATTCGCCCATATTGTTTATCGTGTAGGTGTATTAGTATGGGAAAAAGCGTTGGAGATTTAGGGTCAAGATATATTCAACAATTTTCTATATTTCATGCCTTCAAATAATAAGTGGTTATAATCGCTCCCCTATATAAATAGAAAGTGTGTCATTCTCCAAACATATAATTTCAAATTCAAAGTTCTTTCACTTATCTCATTCATATATTGACTTAAACGTTAGAGTGTTAACCTTGCAGGTCGGTTCTTGCTTCACCACAACAGAAGTTCAAGTCCATCGTTGCACATCGCAACCACCATTCTCTGATCAATTATAGTTTCATAACAAACTGTGGCACCCTCTCTGGGAATCGACTTCTGATTCTCGCGTTTTCTACTAGAGTTCCTGTTATCGAACTCCATATCCGCTATTTTCTATCTATTTTGGTAGAGGATCAACTCTTATTTTTAGAATTTCCTATGATCTATAAATCTTCTAGTAATGGTTGGATCCAAGTCCACTCGCTCTATCGCTCAACATGAAACAATTGTTGCTGCTAAATCAACTGCCTCTTCCTTCTTGGGGAAATGTTGATCAACTTATTGTAAACACTCTGCTGCATACAGATCTACTCCAACCTTCTTAAATTGAAGGATCTGCTATGTGGTTTCGACAAGGTGAGCCTTTGCTCATACCTCCAGTACCACCACTAGCCTCAAGACTGGAAGCATTGTCTGGTTTCCAATTGTTACAGGCTAGCCATAGAATACAAGGCACAAATGAATTATTGAACAATATGTATAACATAGTTCTGCAACAAACTCGCAAGAAATAAAAGAAATATCACTTCGTCTCGAAGAAAGCTCATAATAAGTCTCCAAAGCGGAACATCGTGCAAAAGGTCGATTCTAAGAGAAATTGGACTGTTGTTCCCCAGGCGTCCACGTTACAAAGAGACGAATCTCCAAAATCTACAAATCACCAAAAGAGCAAGAGGTGTCAAACTCCTCCTCAAAGTCTCAGGGGAGACAGAGGTAATCATGTTCCTCCTCAAGAACAAGTAGAGAAACCACCAATGAAGAATCCACAGAAGCATCCTCTCTGTGCCTGCATCCTGGACATCCAAATACCTAAGTCGTTGGAGAAACCTCCAAAACTTAAGGAGTGTGACGGGAAGGGAGATCTCGACGAGTATGTACAACTTATTGAGGAACATTTGAACTACTTCCACACCGATGAAGCAGAAAAGTGAAAACTATTTGCACTAAATTTGACGGGATCTGCCAGATTCTAATATGACGAGATCTTTCTTTCCTTGTGTTGTTCATCATTCGTTTAACAACACGATGTAACACCCCAAAATTTGCCTTACCTTTTTCTTAATCTCTTGGCTTATGTTTCATATCATTTTGCATCATCATTTGTCCATGCCATTAGTTCTAGGTTGGGGATCGAGGTATCTTGTCCAATTCTCAAGAAGAAGAACATGGTTCTTAAAGCTCAAGCAAGGATTTATTCTCAACCTTGTGGTATTCCCAAGTCACAAGGTCTTCTCATCATCAATACATATCTCACAACCACTTGAATCAAGGTTACAAGCATTGATCACCTACTCCTATCTTGTGAACAACTGGATCAGGGTTCTAGTCAAAAGGCATATGTGGCTAGATCCTTGGGCAAGACATGATTCTATGACTCAATACACATATTGAGGGTCCTCTACATGTAGTATGTATCATCACAAGTCATGGCAAGAGCTTCAATCAATGTAAAAGGTGCTAGGATTTCATCTGATCAAGAAAAGTCAAATGTGGTTCAATGGGGGTCAAAGTCTTAGATTTCAAGGTCAACCAAGGGTATGCTTTGTGTTCTCAAGTTTTTTCATGTGTTTGGAACAAGAAAATTTAAGGAGAAACATAAAATCAAGAGTTTGACTAAATTAGGGTTTTGGTGAAATATTTTCTAAGTGTAGAAAATCCTAATTCTAGCCATTTTGCAACATCCATAACTTTCTCATCTTTGATCCAATGAGAGCAAACTTGTTATCAAATTAAAGAGGACATCATGAAATAAAATTTTGTAGAAGAAATAAATTCCAGAAGATCCGTGGTTTGAGAGATATGAAGATTTAAATTTGAGAAAATGGAGGTTTTGTCATTTCAACACTTAGAAAATTTTCTAAGTATGGAATTTCAACTTGAGGTACATGTTTTCAAGCATATCTTTCATGGTGATGAAAGCTTCAAATGACTTTTCCTCCAACATAAAATTTTTAGAGCATCCTCCAAGCTTTCTTTTGAATACTAGAACTCCTCTATTGGATGTGCAGAGCTCAAGTTATGATGTCTCCAAGTTAGGGTTTCAAAGATGTCAAGTGGGACAAGTTTTAGGCGGATTTTTGAGGCAACTTTCCAAGGCATTTTTCACCAAGTTCTTGACTCCAAATCACTTTTCTTTGAACATAAAAGTTGAAAATCATTCTTCAAGCTTTCTATCTATTACTAGAACTCATCCATTGGATCAAAATTCTTCAAGATATGTGGTTTCAAAGATGATGTTCCAAAGTTGCCAAAGTTCAATAACTTAGAAAAAATTTCTAAGTTATTTGAGGCAGATTTGTATACCCAACTTCAAGACCATTTTTAATGATCTTCCTTTCTTTGGAGCACAAGAACTCATGGTTTGCATTAAGAGTCACCAAGTTATGATTAAGAAAAGTGTGTTATATGAACTTGATTTCAAAGGCATGACATGTTATATTTCTTTGACACAATGTTGATTTGGTCTTGCAGCATGATTCCATTCCACTTCACACGCATTGAGCCTCTTTTTTGTGTCACAAATCTTACCACATTTGAACCAACCAAACCATGTACCATATGTACCTCTTTTTCTCATTTTTGCCAAGAAAAACAACAAAATGGTGAAACTTGCTCACCAAGAATACCACCACCATTACCCTTCACTCAGATTGTTTGCAGCCACAAAAAGGACAACATAAATACCTCAATTCATGCTATGCGTACCACCACCCTAGCCAGTCTCTCCCATTTCAAATTTTCACAATTTTTTTTAACCATGAGCATTACCATCTATTTTCACCTCAGTAACTGCTTTTTTACCTTTCAAAACCACCCTATATAAGCTTAAAGCAAACCCTAGAGTAAAGAGGGAGCTCATTTTGCAGCCAACACTTACTCTCACTCTCAAAATTTCTCTCTTTCGAATATGCATTTTCTAAGCTTATTTCTTCATTCTTTGGTTAGCATCATCATTCTCAAAGCAAAAGGAAGCTAAAGGAAAAGATTTAAGAAGCATTGAAGGCAAGAACCAGAAGCAAACGAAGCTCTCCATCAGGTACTATTTCCATTCATTTTTCTCACATAGGATGCGTGTATTGAGACCTTTATTGATGTTTCTGAAGCCCTACACCATGGCACACAAGGTTTGTGTTGAGGTTGTGCTTGTTTGATTGAGTTTCAGTTTGGATGTCAAGTTTTTGTTGCTTGTTTTCATCATGTTTTAGTAATGATAAATGATTTTTGTGGGTGGATTTGGGACCTATGTGAAATTCCCTTCAAAATGATGTCTAGTTTGTGCATTTTTGTTAAGGTTTGCAGTGACCACTAGTAAGGCTCACCAGGGAAGACGGTGGATGCTAGGGCTCCGGCGTCTGAGGTGTTAGCTGAGGTGTATGGTGATGTGGCCATTGACCCGCTTGCGTGTTGTTGAAAAGTGAGGTGACGTGCCACCTCCTTTAATGAAACACATTATATCATTTATCCTGGCCAGATCCCTTTTGCTTTGGACTGAGCCTAGCCAGTTTTGATATCCACATCCCATTGTTTAGTGGCCCAACACACACACACGCTACACCTCGGTTCATTATTCATTTTCTTATACACCCCTCCTTCCTCTTTTGTGCTCTTTTATTTTTCTTTTTATTCCATTTTATTTTATTTTTAATTTTTACTTCTATGTTTAAAAAAAACAAAATGCTTGTTTCTGATTGTTCAACATGCCAACTTATTTTTTATTTTTTATTTTTATTTTGTTTTAATATTTTATTTGGATTTAATTTTGTGAGGTGTTCATTTGACCTAGTTTTGAAATATAGCCTTGTTTCATGACCTTTCTTGTGGCTTTTACCCCTAACCTTTTACCATGTTTTGGCACATATTTGATGAATGTTTGAATGTTGTTTTTGTGTCTTGATGACCATTTCTTGGATGATTCTTATTTGACTTTGTTTGGCCCTCGAAACATGCTCGACTAGTTGTATACTTGAATTTGTTTGATGCAATTGATGATGCTTTCTTGCAATCCCTTTTGTGATCCTTTGTATGAGTTTGAATGCCTATTTGAAATTTGTTTTGTCTTGTTTCTATTTTTGGATGGTGCATCAAGTTTTTGTTGCTTTGACCATGATCTTGTGTATGTCTTGACCTATTCTTTTGAGTTTGTTTCTTGGTTGATTCAATGGATGTTTGATGACCTTTGTATGATTTGTTTAACATGTTGGAGGTTCTAATTTTCATGTATAAAGGTGCATTGCATGACCACTTTATCTCATTTTCTTCACATGATTATTTGTTTCTCTTATGAGTAATTTAAGAGATGTTTACTTGACTTTTGTGCTTCAACTTGAGTTTGCCTCTTCTTGAGTTTGATTGTTGATTTGAATTTGAACA